GTGTTTAAATGTGAAAGGCAAGCTTAGAAAGAGCTGGGTTTGTTAAGATGACCGTTAGGTCTAATCTGGCTGAGTCTAACATGTTGTCTTCCTAGGATACATATTTGCGAGTTTCCATCTCAATTGGGACTGGTGGTAAACTCAAGAGGAGTAGTTCAACTGTCTTAAGCAGAACCTGGTGGGGATGGCCAACCTAGAACATAGATAACTATCTACGTGTAACAGCTATTTAGATGAAAGTTAATGAGTGATGAACAGATGGTCTATGAGTTGTACCTCTATATGTATTTTGCTCATTTTACCACAGAGAATAAAAAGCTTTAAGGTATAAGTAATTGGTATCCTACAGAGTTAACATTCAATTGTAAATACACTTTAGTGATATCGGTGGGTTTGGCAAAGTCCAGTACCGCCTCCTCGTAACGCTCATGGTGGAGGAAGACCCCGATAGGATAGGAATTTCTACACAATACTCGCGCTGCTCGGGCTCTTCCTGATAGAAAGTGCACAGTCCTCCATAAGCTCCCTATAAGCCTCCCTTACTTCTCTGACATTTTACTTATGCTAACTGCATGTGTGTGTCCACTAAAGATAAATAAGGCTGTTTGGGACTTTTTCATGAGAAAAACCTTTAAAACAAAAACACTATGCTGCTGAAAGGGTTCAAATCTGTTGTTTATTAGCATGAATTTGATATAGGCTGAATTTTCTGAATCTGAATTTTGATTTCAGGTGATCAACCCCTCTCACAGTCATCCTTTGACCAAAGCATGGTTCGAGCGTTGCAAGACAACTATGAAGGATTTTGAAAAAGTGAATAAAGCAGGAGCCGATCAAATAACAATGGCTGTCAAGCAGAAACTAGCTCATTAATCCTAAGGGATAACAACTTATAAAAGTTAAAAGATTATGTCTTAAGATAATCTATGCGTAAATACCCAAATTGGGTTGTATAATTTTTTTAATTTTTTTACAATATATTTTACCACTGTAGATCAAATAAATCATTACAAAACTAACTGAAAATATGAGCTTCATAAATGTAACAATTAAAAATTGTAAAATTCAAATGTGTGAGTCTTTGTGAAATGTAATTTCAAATTTCTTATTTTTATCAAATAAATATGGAAAAAAATCATACTCTAGGTAACTGTGTGTGTTATAAAATAAACAAATAACATGATCTTTAATTTTGTGGGCATTTTATTGTCAAAGAATTGTCGAACCAAGGACCAGTTAGTGCTTTTTCTTAAATACCTTAGTTTCAGACAGGAATATTGTTTTCCATGAAAATACTGGCAAAGCAATTAAGAGAAAGTTTGGTGGTGAAGTAGCTCTCAACAACTCAGAATAGAACATTCAGTAACAGTTACAGTAGCAGATACAACAGACAGTTTAATTTGATGTACAGGATTAAATCTTAAACACAAGACTTGACTATCATCTTTTACACAAGTAGCCAGTTAAGTCTTGCATAGTAAAACAAGATTCATTTTCAGAGTAGAAGTGTTAATTGCTTGTAATTTTTTTTTGTCAATTAACTTATTAGCTTACTTAGATTGATGATAAAATATTAATATATTTTAATATATTTTTAAATATATTTTAATATATTTTTAAATATATTTTAATATATTTTTGAAAATGAAATTGAAGGCAATTAGTTATCTGGATCACTTTTAGCTCCAGACACACTTTTATGGTGTTGTGTACATTGTGGGATCGCATATAGGGACGGCATATCTAGTGCGGCCTTTGGCTGCCTCAACTTAGGGTGGCGAGGACTATAGTTAGTGTTGTCACAACACGGAGATGGATGAAAATCCTAGATGTAAATTCTTAGTTAACTTATTTGTAGAATAATATTGTATTGCAGAATTATTTGGAAATAGTTTTTGACTGCTTGTTACAAAATAAAATTTGATTTAGACATGTCTACCCTTCTCCTCTCCGAGGATAACTGCAAGGAGGGAAATCTAGCGTAATACTGTGAATCCTAAATCTACACCCTCACGGAAAGCTGACGCTTGTCAGCAGAACAAATATGGTTACATTCCATGCTACGACCAAAAGTATTGAACGGGATTTAACAATGGATAAATCAAGAACTATAAGCGACAATCAAACAAAAACCCAATTTAATCGCAAGATAATGAAATTGCACTAGTTGCTGCATGTGTTTCCATATTAACCAATTGCTGATATCAGTGACAGAGTGGCATCCTCAATAATTGCCACTATACAGGGTGTCCAAAAAGTCTTGGGTCGGTTAAATATTTTTTGAAATATTAAAATTGAGCTACAAAACTAACTTTGCATAAAGTTACTTGACATAAAATTCCATTCTATCACATATTCACAGTGATCCACAATTTCCCAAGGGGGAGGGCCTGCTAGGAGTAAGAAAAAAATCTTAACCCTTCCCGGACGGGTGACAGCCGCTAAGTCTTTGGCAATGAAGGACGGGTGGCAGATATATCCGCTTATGGTTTTTGATGTTCCGGACCTAATCCGGGAAGCCGATATACCCGCCTTCTCTTCAGACAGACTGGCAGGTGCTTGAGCAGTAACCAGATGTTTAGCGGTACCAAGGCGCCTCCTTCCTGCTCTCCCCATGGCTACGCTCACTCCCGCACTCCCCCCTCTCTACTGCGCCTACCCCTCTCCCTCGCCACCCCCTCTCCTGCGCCACCCCTTCTCCCGCGCACCCCCAATCTCTCCTACGCTCCCCCCTCGACGTTTCGCGCTCAACCCTATACGTTGTCTTTATTTATTGTTTACATACCGTATTGTTCTTTATTTATTGCCTAACGTTGTCATGTCATATCTTCAATGACGGGTGGCGGATATATCCGCTGATTTTCTACTCATCCGCGGACGGGTAGTGGATATATCCGCATAGTTAAAAACGTGTGAAAAATTATTTTGACAGTTTGAAGTGTTCCATTGTGTTTATTTTATGTATACTTGTTTTAAAAAACACAAATACGGAATATTAATTTTTATTTTTTCCTATATATTTTTTCCCATTCTATGTCACGATTTCGTCCGTCCGGAAAATGGTTAAATCTAAGCATGGGATGATACAAACAAATAGAAAGTCTTTCTTTATTAGTAGAATACAATGCCACAACATTTAACGGACTACACCAAGTCAAAAATAGCAGCCGTTCAAAAGATTTTTTGAATCTGCCATTTTGAATCTTGGAGCGACTGCCATATTTACCCTTTATTTTGAGCTAAAATTTGCGGCATTATTCTACTACTGTAATAAAGACCTTTAATTTGATGTGCGTATCTATATAAATAAAATTAGAGTTTTGTCTGTACATTGCTTAGAATAATGAACTTTTTGGTTATTTTTACATTTCATAGGTCAGAGAAACCGAATCAAACCTTATCTCAATTTCTGTCTGTCTGTCTGTCTGTCTGTCTGTCTGTCTATCTGTCATTCTCTTGGTAACGCTAAAATACGCACTTTATTACAACTACTCCTCAATAACTATAGCACTGTCCCGCCTGAAACTTATTTTCCAAATACTATACATATATGAGATGGTTTAGACGTATTTCATCGAATATGAGACAGTTAGATATTTAACAGTAAACCCTTGAAAATCAAGTTTTTGTCGATTTTTGACGTGGAATTTCTGGAAGCCCATGTTAACCTTATGAGAAATGAAATTATTGAATCTTAACAGCTGTTTCAATTAAACAAGTTGGTTCTGTTCTGTGATGTTCAATAGCATTAAAGTTACAAGGATTACCAACAGGGTGCAGCACTAGCACTATTATTTCTTTTACATTTATGACAACAGCTAATTTGCAACCTGGAGGCGAGTGAGCGTAGCGAACGAGCTAACCTGAAGGCAAGTGAGCGTAGCGAACGAGCTAACCTGAAGGAAAGTGAGCGCAGCGAACGAGCTCCAACATACAGGTGAGTGAGCGTAGCGAACGAACTTCAACCAGGACGTGATTGAGCCATGCAAACGAGATCAGATAGTAAAAATAAAAGTAAGCCTACCGTTATAGGATCGACCGGCAGACACAGAGGTAATTTAACCTTTTATTGATTGTCATACCGATCCGGAACAACAAAAAACAACATAAAATGAAGCTATGTATAATAGTTTGGCCAGCATATCTTAAAATATGCAAACCAACTGCTGTTCTTTATATAAGAAGGTTTCAACTGAATATTATAAGATCCCCGTGCGTAGAACGGGTACACAGCTAGTCAAAACTACAGTTATACAGTTTTGATTTTCTTCCGAGTTCTAGCAAGCGCCCCCCTGAGGAAGTAGCGTGCCATAGATAAAACATAAGTTTTATCTATTGTAGTGCCAATGAAGACCGTTATAACATTATAAACCATACAACTTCCTTAAAAGATTAATCATCCTTCTTTAGACTAGCTGAAGGCAATTTTGTATTGTTAGTTCCATCCGGTGCACTGTGAAGGGTCGTGTTTTTGTTTACAATTTGTTTCTTCTTATTTCAGTGTTTAAGTGTTATACAAAACCTCATATTCAACCAAATAAAACGATCTAATCATAAACAATAACTAATCTCCCAGTTATATAACCGAACAGTAAAGATTATGGATGAATTTACCCTGAAAATTATATAGAAACAAAATCTCGTCGACACTAGCACCCAGAGTGTCACCAACATGAATGGTACGTTAAGTTCATGGTTAATGGTAAGTTAGATACACAAGACGTTCGATAGTAACAAGACTAGGGTTTGGACCGTCCTTTTAAAAACGTGAAAATGCGATTGGCGTAGAAAACGCACAAAAAATACATGCATACGGTAAATAAATTGTAGTGCGTGAACCATATTTGCAAACACAATATAACCATTGACTAAGTAGTTAACACTTGTTGATGTTGGCTACACTGCTCGAAATAAAAGTTAAATACAGTACATTAAATCAGCTGATGTTGGGAAGGGAAGTCCAAGTCAGCTGTCAGTTGCGGCAACGTTGACAATGACAACAAATGTGTCAATTTGTCAAGTTAAGTTTTCTCGTGCTAAACTGCTAAATAACTAATTATCAACACAACACAACAAGCTATCACGCCGATGTGATCATAAACATTTTGTACATTCTCATGTAGTAGTGATGGTTACCTCAAGATGTATAACGGCCGTCGGAATAACACAGTTTACCATGCATTTTAAGTGGCGAATTTTGATAAGTGAACTCAGGCGGGTCATTGGGCCTGTTTGTTTCTTTAAATAGTGATCACGTCATAGGAAGAAGAACGTTTATTATTGTTTATGTTTTTATGATGCTACAATTTTGGAAGAAAACAATTAACAAAGAAAAGGTCGATCGAACCTCTAATCAAAATGTAAACGGCGTAGCCTTGCCTGTTGGAGTTTTCCTGCCTTCCTTGTCAGATTCGACTGCAGAAGGCCCTCTTGCAAACTTCCAACACGATGGTTATAGTAAGTACCTATATTAATTTTGAAGTTTTGTTAAATCAACACTAGCAGCGTTTCGGTCGATAAGTTATACTAAGTTAGGCCTAGGTTAGGCCTAAGTTAATGCCCTAAATAATTTAAGATGTAGCCTAATGATTCAAATGATTTTATTGGCCATTCAGTTACATACAAACAATAGGCTACGTCAAACAAATAATAAATAAACATGCCAAACTTCTTCTTGCACTCTTGACTAACAAGATTAAAGGCAGAAATGAGATGTAGCCTACACCACAGAGAAGTAAGATAACTTACAGAGGAAGCATTCAGTGGTACACTTAAGTACCGTAACTTAGTGTCTAGCACCAGTCGCTTGTGTCTATTGCAAATTATTTTGGCGGGCCCCTTCTGCTCACCTTTTCCCCCTCACCATAACGTAATACAGCGCTCACACAGTAGGAAGAGCCTGGGCCTGGGCCTGTAAACAATAGCCGTTCGGACTCTTCCTTGCTCGGTACTAGTATATTTCTATCCCACCATTCCCGAGCTAAAAGCGCACCCGGTTGTTCCAAGAATGTTTCCTCTGTGTCTTAGGCCTACTACTTCTCTGTGCCTACAATGAGCATCACTCTAATAGACCAAAAATTATAAAGATCGCGAGGTTAAGTTAGTAGGGCCTAATTCTTATTAAATTATCACTTTGGCCCACTCAAGATTGGTTGTTTCATAGGCTGGGTTGATAAATTATTTACAAATTGACAGTTAGCGGTCCCATGGGGGGATGGGAGGGATGTACATCCTCCTCCCCAAATATTTTAGGTTGCACTTAAAGGTAACGTCCTACATTTAACTTACCGGTACTGTTACCTATACATTAACTACCAGCTGATTATAAAAATGAAACTGTTCTAAACTAAACCTAACCAAACTGCAGTAGCCTACCGGTACCGGTATGTGAGTAAATGTAGGACGTAAACTAAGTTAAAGTGCAGCCATAAGTTATTTTATATTTTATTAGCTGACATTTAAATATTATTAGCATGAGCATATTTTAGATTTCATATGCGTATAAAAACACGTTTTTAGGCTTTATAAATTTCACATTTGTCCAGCGGGGAACCAAAATATTGTCTTTGCATGGCGCTTGACACCCCAGAGCGTAGGCCTATCATTACCATTGATGCATTGATATGTTTGACACTGGGAAGGTTAATACGTTTTTGTTCCCACACCTAAGTTATGGCGTTGTTTATACACGCACATGTAAAAGTAGGCCTACATTGTTTGTCTAATGTTTCAATACCCTACCTCAGGGGAAAAACCCCTTAGGGTCATCATCATGTTTTAAGATTTCCACAAAGGGTTGTTAAAAATAATTCCCTTGGTTAAAAAAAACTTTTAAAAGTTAGGCCTTTAATGGAAATTCTGTCTTACCAGGAATTCCTTGTACATGTTACATTACTTCTTGTAGACTAAACATTAACAATCCTATGTCTAGGCCAACTATATTAGGCCCTATTGGCTAAAGTTTCTTTTAAAACTATGGACCTTAAAATATTGATAGCCCTCAACATATTACAGTAGATAATTGTAATTTAATCTTCTGAAAGCTAATGTACCTTATTCCATTGTTCTAGCTGACACCCCTCCCCCGCAACGGTCCCGGCTGTCCCCCAACTTGCTAGAGGTGCTGCAGGATCGTGTGGCGTTGTCCTACTTCGCTCACTTTGCTGATCTACGAGGACACGCACCTCTTCTCTCCCTGTTGTTGGACTTGCAAGATCTGAGGACTAGTGATAGTAGTGGTGCAAGTGTTAGTGTTAGTGGGGGACTACGTTGTGGTAGTGATAGTGATTCTCCCATCACCCGTAGAAAGTTTTGCCAGGTAAGTTTGACAAGTTTTCAGCTGGTTATTCATTCCTTTTGCTTGAAGTATTCAAAATAGGCTGCGCCTACGCTTTATTTTACAGTGTTTTCTTCCGGTATTATTAAAGCTTAACCTGAAAACACCATCCATTTTAGGCAGCAGTCCAACATGCCATGAATTGTACTGAAATTTTGTACAGGGGAACTCTCAAATTATCCTATAACTCAAACTACCGTATCCTAATGCTTACAAAAAGAAAAAAAACCTCAATAAATTAAAAAAGAATTGTTGTTAAAGAAGGCAGATTGCACAAAATCCAGCCATGATTGCAGCAAATCATGATGCTCGGAACCTCAGTGACCAAAGTCCCACGCTCTAACCACCAGACCAGCTCGCTCTCAGGTTCAAATGTACTGCCAAATCACCAATAATGTATTTTATCCAAGAGATAGTGTTACAACCAATATGGGTCTAGCCAGAAATAATGTGCAAAACAATCCCAGGGTCATGCCTAGGGTCTTTATTTTATTTTATTTTATTTCAACGGACATGTCTTTATTTCAACGGTCTTGCCGTCTTAGGACAAAAAAAGGGAAATTCGCTAAAAAACCAGATCACAATGCTCGTTGTCTAAGCCTAACTTGTAGCTTCCTAATTTTCGTAAATAAGTACATTGCATATTCTATTTTTTTGTCTATGCTGTACGATCCATGATAAATAATACCATGAATAAATAAATAAAAGTTCAGTCCTATTTAAAAATCCGTAAGTAAGTTCTGCTCAAATTGGGAGATTAGATTCTGATTGCAAGAATCAAAATAGTATAGGCATACAGCAATGCTTTTAATCAACTTGTGTTTCATAGCCTATATTTTTCTATTTCTTGTCATTAACCTTTACAGAGGTACCTGACAGAAGAGCTGACCCAGAGGTTTAGGATCCCAGAGGACATCTCTGCAAGAGTTAGTCAGGATGGTGATGATCAAACTCTTCAACAGCTGTATGACTTTGCGTATCACACTATGAAGCGAGAGTAAGTCAAACTAACCTATGTTTGGATATTCTAACCTAACCTAACTAAGTTAATTGTTAATCACTTGTTTACAAACACCATTAGAAGCCTCCAAAAATCTTTTCTCACTACAGTACACTCTCGATTATCTGAGCCCCAGTTATCCAAGTCCTCTGATTATCCAATCTCTTTTTCGGCCTAAATATACACGGTATTTTAAAATTTTGGCCGGAAAACTACTGTTACTTTAATAACGCCTCATTTCTGAAATAAACTTATAGTCAAAATATCAATATTTGTGATTTTTTTAAATTATTTCTTAAAGTAACGTAAGTTATTTGGTCCTTGTTTTTTAATCAGTGGTGATACTACACTACGGCTGTTTCAGAGATTACTCCAAGGCCATAGCCAGGACAAATTTTTGGTGGGGGGGGGGTATGGTTAGTGACGGTTCTATCAAGGGGGGGATGGAGCACCCTCAAAACGAAGGGGGTCTGTGGGTCCTCCCCCAGGAAAATTTCACACTTTTAAAGCCGTTTGGTGATTTTTAAAAATGTTTTTAACGCCTACAACTTTGTCCAATTCTCCAAAAACACCCTTTTCACCTGTTGTTTGTCATGAGCAAGTAGATATTAAAAAAATTAAACTATGATGATTGCATTCTAGAATTTTATATAATGTAGATTATGGCCATATCCTCCTAAAAAGGGTTCTTGTCTTGGTGACTTTCTAAATCCATGTTTAACGTATAGAACTGTGTCCAAAAACCTCGCATTTCACCTTTTATTTGTAACAAGTAGACATTTTAAAAACTAAACTATAGCCATTGAATTCATAAATTTCTAAACATAGGCCTACTGTGAGCCAAGGCATTAATTTTTACAACTAAATTTTGGGGGGGGGGGGTTTGACCCTGGATACGGCCTTGGATTACTCCATCATTGCGTAGCAGTGCACTAAACTTAAGTCTTGTTTTTATTCTTCACTAAATGACTTCATTTGCAAGGTGTCAGCTGTTAAATAAAAAATTAGACATCCAGGCCCATAAGATGCGTTGGACACATGATTCGTCCTCCATCCTGAATGGAGTGACCAGGATTAAACTGTTGGTCGACAGTTTTTAAACAGTGCACATGTGCTAAATACTAAGTGTTTTTCTATTGTATCATGTAACAATACTATACGAGTGAGATAAACCGAGATACAAACCATTGTTTTGTAGGTTGTGGTGTGATTTCCTGAGAAGTGAGTTCTTCTCCAAGTACCAAGTAGAAGTGTTGACCAGTGGAACAGTGACATTGAGCGACATCATGTATCACAACTCAGCTGTAGCGGCCTTCATTGAGGTAGGCAACTGTCATGTCCAACCTACGACTCTGTTGAGTCTAAGGTTCTTTTTTTAAATTTATCGTTCCACCCCATTCACTGCTTCTCAAGTAGTCTTCTTCAGCCTCCTGGATTTCATAGTCAGACACACTTAATTATTGAACTGTCACTCTCATATGGATAATTATTTTATTTACTTTATTTTAGTCAGGAGGCCCTACCTTTTATAAAAATTACTGGTTAGGCTACATGCATAGATGATAGATTTTTCTTTAGTGGAAATTGAAAAGCTTTTCTATAAATGATCAATTTGTAAATTTGATGGAAACTATTTTCTAAAAAATTAAATATCTTAATAATGATTCCTTGTCATTAGCATTTCTGCGAATTGACACTGTATTTTTATACTAGCCTATAATGAAATTTACTTTCAAAGAACTGACTTATGTCAAGTACTAATGTTTTTGTTCTTTACGTGACTCGTTCAGTATAAAGAGTCGTTTCTAAAACCTGTTCCCACTCCCCGTATTTGCTGATAATAACCATTAATCCTGCCAGATAACATTATCAGTGACACCTGTGAAGGCAATTGGCTGGCATACTTCCTGTGTGCACTGTGCAAACTTTCATTTTCAGTAGGCCTAACTTTTAGTCTCCACTGTTTCTGAAGAATCTTTTCATCATTTTTTGCTTTGTTTTCAGCTTTTTGTGTTTGTTTAGGGACAAAAATTAAGATACAGTGTGTGGTAGAAAATAAGTTTTTACAATAGTGAAACTGAAGGCTCATTCAGGGATGCAAAAACACTGGTAAAATAATCCGGTTCGATGAGGCCAAATAAAATTTTGGGTGAAAAAATAGATCCTAACTAATAGATGTAGGATGAAAATAATCAGTCTTAACTAGGCTACTAAATTTTGAGTAATGACATTTAGTATCTTGTTAAAAAAGTGCTGAAGGGTTTGTGGTTTAGTGGCAGTAGCAAACTATTTTAACTTTTATTCTGTTGATATATGTATATAGTGAAGTCCATGTTTAGAGGTATTACTCTTTGGTCTTTGTGTATTCTCTTTTAAGTGTATTTGATTTCCGATTCAGAATAAAATATGTCGGCTCATTAACTGCAGCCTAAATGTATTTCTGTCGATGTTAATTACATTTTATAATAAATAGTATTGAAACTTCAATTGTGTTTTTATTTAAAACATGAAACATGGTGTCTTATAAGTGGGATACAAATAAATTCAAGTGCGTGAGTAATAAATTAACATAAAAATGTGTTATAACAATGAGTGAGTCGGAAGATGAAAACGTGCTTCAACAAACTGAACAAAGGACTGTGTCTAGAAAAACTGAAAATTTCACAATGGTTCCATGCAATCTTCAGAATTTTAATTTCGAGGGCAATTTAGCCGAAAATTGGAAGCACTGGTATCAGAAATTTGAGATTTATCTCTTGGCTTCTAACCTAAATTCTGAAAATGACGCTAGGAAGGTTGCTCTACTACTACATAATTTGGGTGACAAATGCATAGACATTTTCAATTCGTTCAACCTCTCATCCGAAGATGCAAAAAAGTACGACGTGGTGGTAAGTAAATTTGAAAACCATTTCTCGCCTAAGAAAAACCTCACGGTTCTGAGACATAAATTTCTAAATAGGAAACAGCTGCCATCTGAATCCATCGATAGTTTCTATACAGACTTAGTTAACTTGAGCCTCGCTTGTGAATTTGACTCTGTCCGCGAAAGTCTTGTTTGCGATGTCTTAATATCAGGGCTTAACTCTCAAAACCAGAATGTCAGGGAACGATTATTGAGAGAGCCGGAGATTAACTTGGAGAAGACTTTAGCAATCTGTAAAGCTGCTGAACTGTCTAAACAACACATCAGAGAACTTGAAGCAGAACATAATGTCCATACAGTAAACGTCCATAAGCAACGAGAGAGGGGTTACCAACAACCACAAACGTTCAGACAGAAACAGGTTTATCAGGACCAACGGAACAAATTTCATCCACTGTCACAGCAGAAATCAACTGGGACAGGTAGGCCTAACAAAAGTACAAGTGCTAAGAAGTTTATTTCAAACTGCCGTAATTGTGGGAAAAATCACGGTATTAACAAGTGCTCTGCGTATGGCTTAGTGTGCTATAAGTGCGGTAAAAACAACCACTTTGCCAGTGTATGCAAATCAGCCAAAAAGGTTTGTGAAGTAGGCCTAAGTTTAGATTCTAATTCGAGAGATGTAGCTATAAGGCAAGGTAGGCAAGACAGTTCTTCTAAAAGTACTTGTGCACAAGAATATTTTTCAATTGATACGGTATCGCTCACGTCTGAATCTATATCTAATTACGTGATTGACAAAAACTTTTTATTCAGTAATATATGTTCAGTTAATGATTCTGTTCCTAAAAATTACATGTGTAAATCCAGGGCTAATGAATGGCTAGAGAATTTGAACATTAGGGAACACACAATCTCATTTAAAATAGATACAGGTGCTCAGACAAATATCATCCCAATTGATTTGTTTAATAGGCTAGGCCTATCAAAGGCATTAATACGCACCTCAAATATAAATCTTAGTACACTAACTGGTGAAAAAATACCGGTACTAGGTATTGTAGATTTAGATTGCTCTTTCAACAGGAAAATGTTCTGTATTACTTTTGTAATAGTTGATGTGAAATGTTCGCCAATTTTAGGCTTAAATTCTTGTCGCGTGTTAGGTCTTATAGCAGCCTACAACGGTCAGGTATTGTCTGATGTTAAGAACCAAAGTGTAAATAATATTGCTCTAGGTCAAAATATGCATAGGCCTAATGAAAGTGTACATTCTGTTAGTAGCATTTTGAATGAATATAGCTCACTTTTTGATGGTAGTATTGGTAACATTCCTACAACAGTTCATTTGTCATTAAGTGAAGATGCTAAGCCTATTATTGAACCATGTCGTAGAGTACCATTCGCTTTGTTAAATCCTTTGAAAAATGAACTTGAATTAATGGAAGCTAATGGAATTATTGTAAAAGAAAATGAACCTACAGAATGGGTTCACAGTTTAGTTTTGATAAACAAAAAAAATTCTGGACTAAAGGTAGTATTAGATCCAAGAAACCTGAATAAGTATATACAAAGAACACACTGTCAAATGCCAACTATAGATGAAGTGTCATCAAAGTTTAATAATTGTAAGATATTTTCAACTCTTGATGCAAGCAGTGCATTTTGGATGCTTAAGTTGGATAATATTAGTAGCAAGTTGTGTACGTTTAATACACCTTTTGGTAGATATAGATACCTTCGTTTGCCATATGGTATCTCAAGTGCACCGGATATATTTCATTCTACTGTATCTCAAATATTTGAAGGTATTGATGGTGTAGTCACCTACATAGATGACATTTGCATAGGTGCTCCTGATAAACAAACTCATGATTTAAGATTAAAGGAAGTATTAAAAAGAGCTAAGGATTTTAATATTAAGTTTAACTCTAGGAAATGTAAATTTGCTGAGAGTGAAGTTTTGTTTTTGGGTCATCGGTTTACTGAGTATGGTTTAACTCCGGATCCTTCTAAGCTTAAAGCTGTACAGGAGATGCCAATACCTAAAGATCGTAAAGACTTGGAAAGATTTTTAGGAGTTACCAATTACTTATCAAAGTTTATTCCAAATTATTCGACTGTAACATCTCCTTTGCGAGTTCTTTCACATAAAGATGTTTTATTTCAATGGAATGCCGAACAACAAAATGCATTTTTGACTTTAAAGTCTTTGTTAGTATCTCCTCCTGTTTTATCATATTATGACCCAAGTAAGCCAATAACATTGTCTGTAGATTGTTCCTCAACTGGTTTAGGTGCTGTATTGTTATGTGGTGATAATCCCATTGCGTATGCGTCTAGAGCGCTCACTAAGACTCAGTCAAATTATTGTCAGATAGAACGAGAAATGCTAGCCATAGTTTTTGGTTGCACTAGATTTCACCAATTTATTTTCTCTAGGAAAGTAACTGTTGAAACTGATCACAAACCCTTAGAATGTTTGTTTAGGAAGCCCATTACTGCTGCTCCTTTAAGATTACAGCGAATGATGCTAAAAGTTCAACGCTATGACTTAATTGTTGTATACAAGCCAGGTAAATTGATGTATATAGCTGATACACTGTCACGTGCAGCACTTCCAGTAGAAGGTAAAGAAGATATTGATGTTTTAGATGAGGACATCATTTGTGAGGTAAATATGTTAAAATCTTATCTTCCCGTGTCTGAAAGTAAACTAAACCTGCTAAGAGAAAAAACCAGTTCAGATGAATGTCTAGGTATTTTAAAGATGTATATATCTAAAGGTTGGCCTCAAAAGCCTGAAGTCAGTAATATGGTTTTACCATTTTGGAGTATTAAACATGATCTTCATGTTGTAGATGATCTTGTTTTCAAAAATCAATCTATTGTTGTACCTAGTTCACTTCATAAAATGATGCTTGAAAGTTTGCATTGTGGCCATGTAGGAAAACAAACATGTGAGATTAGGGCACGCAATTTATTGTATTGGCCCACCTTACATAAGGACATTGAAAGTTTTGTAAATAAATGTAGTGTTTGTGCTAAGTTTAAGCCTATGAATGCAAAAGAACCGTTGATGTTTCATGATGTACCAGATTTGCCTTGGTATAAAGTGTCAGGTGACATTTTTGAGTTTGATAACCAATATTTTCTTGTACTAATGGACTATTATTCTAAATATATTGAGTTAGTATCTTTGTCAGACATTACTTCAAAAACTGTAATCGAGAAATGCAAATCAATATTTGCTCGCCATGGAATTCCTGTTACTTTAGTAGTTGATTCAGGAAGTCAATTCACTTCTAACGCTTTTCACGAGTTTTCTGTGTTGTACGATTTTAAGCTAGTGATAGTTAGTCCAAAACACTCTCAATCTAATGGTCAAGCTGAGTCAGGTGTCAAAATAGCGAAAAACTTACTGAAGAAAACAAAAGAATCTAAGTCTGATGTGTATCTTGCATTGTTAAGTTATCGTAACACTAGTAAACAATATCAACCTTCACCAGCAGAGTTAATGTTTAGTAGAAAACTCAATGGCCTATTGCCACTGTCTAAAAGTAGTTTGCAGCCTAAAGTAACAAAACCTAACAAAATTTTGTCAGACAAGAGAAAAGATTGTATTAAAAAGTACTATGATAGAAATAGCAAAGAGTTACCCTCTTTAAATGTAGGAGACAAAGTGTATTTTAAGAAAACTGTTGATTCACCTTGGACATCAGGAAAAGTAGTAGAAAAAAATAGAATCCCCAGATCCTATGTTTTGTCTGATGAGAAAGATAAAATGTTTGTAAGAAATAGGAAGATGATTAGGCCAGATTTGTCTTATGATACAGGTAATGAAACCATAATGCCTGAAACAAGTCCTAAGTCAGATTCACAAATCAGTTTGTCAGGTACTAATGGTAATAGCCTTATTTCTACGCAAAGTAGTCCAGTGTTGTTTCAAAGACCAGTAGGCCTAACTCCTAGAATTTCATCAGAAGAACAAATTGTTAAAAGTTTCGATGGTTGTGTAAGCCGAAATGGTAGATTGATAAGAAATCCAAAGCGGTTGTCTTATGATTAGGTTTTGGTGTATATTTTGTTAGACTTGAAAGGAAAATGTTAAAGTTGTATTTTGGAAAGTTAAAATTTTCAATTTTGTAAAAGAGAGGGGATGTTGATATATGTATATAGTGAAGTCCATGTTTAGAGGTATTACTCTTTGGTCTTTGTGTATTCTCTTTTAAGTGTATTTGATTTCCGATTCAGAATAAAATATGTCGGCTCATTAACTGCAGCCTAAATGTATTTCTGTCGATGTTAATTACATTTTATAATAAATAGTATTGAAACTTCAATTGTGTTTTTATTTAAAACATGAAACAATTCTCAACCAATATAATTTAAATGTTTAAATTTTCCAAATAATACTTTTACGTTTCCATCTTGAACTGTCTACCGGACTCTTTAAAGTTTTGATAAGAAATAATTTAAAGTATAAATTTAAATTTACTTATACACAAATATATTCAGTGATATATTTTCATTTGCTATATACGGTAGGCTACATCATGTAGATTTTGGAGTTACAAGTGTGCTGGATAAGTACCGTGAGATCATTAGCCTAATTGCTGCAATTAAATATTTCAGTTAATAGATTTAGAAGGAGTCAAATTTTAGTTTCATAGTTCGGTAATTTTTAGGTAGGCCCTACACAATATCTTACAAATTCTTTTTGAGGTTAGGGTTGAAATTTTGTTTCAAGATTGCATTCACTTTAGTTATCATATAAATGTAAATAATTAATCGGAATTGTCTAAATTTCCTACTTCTATAAACTTAATTACTGTGTAATATTTTAAGTATGTTAAAAAAAATATTTTTTTAATATCGTGCTTTGAATTTCATCAGTTTGAAGATATTAAAACACCCTAACTGTTTCATTTATTAATAGGGAGTTATTTTTATAATTATTATAATACAGAATTTCAATATATTTCAATCAATATTGTTGGAGTGGATAACCTCTATTATATCATGTTGAGGTGTAGTAATCATTACATCACGTATGACTGAATCTGTGAGAATAATTTCACCCGACTGTTAATTTGAGCCAGTAACGAACTGACACACTACCTTATATACACTCCAGATTGTAACAGGTATTTAATTTTTTAATGTCCTTATTTCATACTTTTGCATTAGGTATTGTATTTTTGGTGTTAGATCTTTTTAAAATGATATTTATGTACAATAATTTTAATGCAAGTTTATTACAATTATACAATGATTTGGACGAGTTCGGTTTGTTAACCCTCCGAGTGTCATGCGTCGCTGCAGCGACGCGTAACGCACTTTGTATAGTGTCGTGCGTCGCTGCAGCGACTCGCGAACACTGTTTACGGCGAAGGCTCTATGACTAACTGAATCGGACTGTACTGGATTGAGTTAGGTATCGTTCTGTCCGTAATATTCTAAGCTTTCTGCAGAGGTCTGTCTCTAAGCACTATTCATTTTAGTTCCGAAAATATTGTAGCAGACAGCTGACTGAGCTGACGTGCGTGTATTTGTAAACAGCTAGGTTACCCTCGGACCGATGACTGATGTGTTTTATTACGTTTATCATTGTTTTAGTGTTAAAAATCAAAAGTAGTGATATACGTGGTGCATTATAAGAAGATTTAAGTGGTTTTGAAGTGCTGGTTGATGATCCTGAAGAAGTAGGTAGTGATATTGATGTAAATTATCAGCCAGATTCCTAGCTATGGTTGGGCTATGCATTCTTAGCTAAACGCTATGTACTGAAATCTGTTTTTTGCCCATAACTTTTTTATTTGCAAATCTACTTCCTTATATTATTATAGATTTGTAATCCTCATAAAATTTAGAACAAAGTGGCTATTTTCAAATATTTATAGGCCTATAATTTATACAATTTCATTGAGCGCAAACTTATTTTTTTTTGAAAATTTTTGAAATTATACATTTTTTTACCTAAAAAAATTTTTTTTTTTTAAATCTTCCTTATGTTTTATATATAATATTGAAGCCCAAGATTTTCCAAACAAAATGGTATATAGAACAGTATAATTAACATTGTTTTTAAGCTTCTCAGATCAGTTTTAATAAAACCTTGCAAATGAGCAAAAAATAGGCTGACATTAAGGCCAAAACACGTGACACTCGGAGGGTTAAGTGACTAAACAAAATTTGTTACGTCTTTTGAGGAATTTTGAAGGTTATTAAACCAGGGATGTATAAGGGATCAATTTATCAACTTAATTTAAAGGTGAGACGTTTCTATTGACGATTTTTCAACTTGTTGTCACTAAATAATAATAGGCCTATAGGTTTTTGTTCTTTTACAATTCAAAATTATTATCTCAGAATACCGTACTGTTAGTTATTTCCTGTTTCAATAAAAAGGTTTAAATTCCTGCTTTAAATTATAAACTATTTAAATTATTAAATTATTTATTTATTTAATTTTGTATTATTTAAATTATTTTTGATATAAATTATTGGTACTTAAAGCTAGAAGAGGGATCTTGTATTCAATTTAACTTGTGATAATTCCAGCATTCTGTAAAATTATTAAGAAAGGTTTAAATCCCTGCTTTCAAGTAATCCATTAAAATTGCAAACATAACTAGTGAACCATTATCAGGTGGTAAGAACATTTGTTTTCTGTATGTAAAGAGTGTCATATTGAAAACATAAAAATAGATATTTGGGATATATAATGGTGACATTCACACATATGCGACACATTTACGGAAATCAGTTATGGTAACAGACTATGTTAATCCAGCGGAGTTTGAGTTCAGACTGCAGTTGGTAAGTGGGTGATTAATTGCACATTCGTTAATACTTGAACGTCTTCCCAAAGGTACTATGAAATTTATATATTGGCAATGTTGAAAACCAATTGCCACAGCAATAAAACGTTACTCATATTTTATTTAGAAACTTTCTAAGCGAAAGATATTCTGTTCAGTTCTTGGAGCAGGAGGGCTGTGGAAGCGTGATAGACTTCTGGCAGACTGCTACTACCTTCCAGAGACAGCTTAGGCCAGACAGTGACCCTACCACGTCCGTCAACCAAGCAATCTCCATATACGACAAGTGAGTATCCTTATCCTACAATCATAAACATCAGATTAGGTAAACTAGGACGGGTGGCGTCGTCCTGTAATCCAGCTACTAGGAGGTCACGAATTGTGGATATTTATAGGCATGCACTGTGGATGCGATACTCCCTGGTGTGGATTAACGTCCACAGGAGTGAGTACTACGGCTATCCGCACTCCGCAGTACTATCCTGATAATTAGACCAATTCGTATATACCAAGGCAAAAATGTGGTTCAGATTCCACTATAAACTGTAGGTCCCTTAGTTTCCATTAGCTGTATGGGCTATTAATTAACTGCTGTGTCTAAGGAATGTCGGCCTTAGTCACTAACAAGAAGACTACACGATCGCGCCACTCATCCTACACTTATCTTCATTCATACTTGGCTTAAAATACCGACTTCGTATGGTCGAGATTTTATAAGAAAGAAAGTAAAGAAAGTATAAGGTCAAGTTAGTTTATGATGGTCAACCAGGCCAATGTTTGATTACTCTTGTGATATCACTACTTGTATTGGAGTTTATTCCCAGCAGTTGCACAGCGATAAGATACCCATCCTAATCCAAATCCTCCCCAATCCAGGCAATATCATTAATTTGAAACTGCACACCACCCTTTTCATTTATTTTGAACTATAGTTAGGGTTAAAATATGTTTAGGGAAACCACACTCCTACAGTGATTCGACATATTTTGCTTGTTTGACGCAGGTACCTGTCACTGCAGGCGACATGTCCGCTAGGGATCGACCACGCCACCAGGTGTGAAGTAGAGTCTCGTATCTGTGTGGAGGGCGCCGCGCCGCTCAGTGACTGTCTGGAGCCTGCGCTGCGCAAGGTGTGGGCGTACTTGCGCTACGTCTGCCTCCCACTCTTCCTGTCATCTCAGGTGATTGTGCTGATAATAATTAGTTTGGAGATTAAATTGTCTGAATTGATTATTTTAGGGATGGACACAATTGTACTTTAGGTTCAGGACTGGATTTTTATTTCCTTCCTGATAATCAGGAGCGGATTTCTCTCCGTTAAACAAGAAACAAAGAGGGGAAAAAAACTTGTAATCTTTACTTTTCTTTGTCATTTTATCATTAATGCGTTATCTGAGTTTCCAAATCTGTCTTACATATTTAACGAGAGTTCAATTTGTCGTCCACAGAGCTACGTACAGCTGATCTCTGAACTAATGAGGGCGACAAGAGCCAACTCCAGTCCTGCGTCGTCTGTAACGGATATCAGCGTGGAGTCGTCCAGGAGTAGGTTCGACCCTGACCTGATCTGGCGACGGAGACACCATGACAGGTGAGGAGAAGAAGGGGGTTCAACGAAGGAAAAGGAGGTGGTTTATTTGTAATTAGAATTGGGTTTTAACATATTGAGTTTTTTTTGTATCGTGAAGTTTTGAATGTTTCCTGATTTTTCCCATATTTTGTTAAATTATTACAGTTTCTCTTCTTATTTCAGAGGTTTAAGCATCGGAAGGATTGACCAGTTAGGGAGGTTCGAGACGGATATCGAACCAGAACCCGACAAAAAGTCAGGTATGTTTCCTTGTAACTTAAAATGATTTTGTTGTATGATTTTTTTTATGTTTATTATGATGACGAGTACAAAGACAAACAAAAAATGTATTCTTTTTTCTATGAAACTTACAGTTAGAGAAAATGTTTTCCATGGTGGCTTTAATTGATTATTTTTAATATAATAATAGGTACGCATGCTTATAACTTATTAGGAGTTTGTTGGTACTGGTTCTTGGAGATATCACTGGTACCCCCAGAACTGGTGTTTAAAAAAATGATCCTGAAACTGACTTTGAAAATGTATCACTGATTCATCACTAATAAATGTTTCAGTGAACATTTTATTAACGCATGTTTTTTACTTTTACAGAATCGAGAATTACTCGAGTAGTTAAAAAACTTGTCAACAAAGATGAACAGAAGGTAAGTTATAACTTATTAATGAATTTGTAGGACTTTGGTTAGTAATGTTATGTTATATAATGTAATATTTTATAGGTATTTAGATTTTTCTTCTTATAAGATAATTGAATAACAAGACTACTGTTTTGTTAACAAGTAGTAGAAAATGAAGTAATGAAATAAAAACAATTTTTCTACTTCATTGGGTTTTTTTGTGTGGAAAATTTTTTCACACAAAGCATAGGTCTGTTTTTTTAAGTTATCTGTTTTATATCAACTACTTCCCTACTCTTAACAATGTAATTGTTCACTTATGTATGGTTACTTGAGTTAGTTGTTTAATTTATTACATACAATTTAATTTAGGTAAATAATATCGTTTGTGATTGTTTGTGCAGTACATAAGGACCCTTTCTAGTGTAAGTATCCGACAAAAAATAGTCAGATCATTGCATGTTTTATTATTAAATGATTTTGCACACATTTCATGCAGATACCCTATGGTTTTAGCTTGGTAATTTAGATTTAGATTTAATTTCAGATAAGTGTTTTTAGCTGTTAGCAAGTAAGTTATGCTAACTAAAGTCTTCGTAAGTACCATCACATACATACAGTTTTATTGTGGATGTTAATTATGTTTAGAATAGAGCGTAGTTTTTGTTTTTATTATATATGCTGGTTAGGTGGTAGAACATTCGTAATCATGATTATTTTGGATTGTTAGTGTTTGCAACACCCTGTATAGAATGACCACCAAGCTCAATTGATATGCTTTTACCACAGCCAAATTTATTTGAATAAGTTTTAATTTGTGCGATGATATTATAGCTGTTAGTAGTTGTTGAATTTGTACCATAGAATGATTGTTGTTGAATTGTTCGAGAGAATGATCACTTTTATACATGTTAGTTATTTAATATATTTGTTATGTACCTTGTACGTTTTTTTCCAGTCTAAAACCATTAAAGGGATTGTACTGAACAAGCCCAAAATTAATGTTTGTTTACTTTGAACAATTTTGTGTTGATGGGTCAGGAAGGAATTGCTATGGGCGTAGAGAGTTGCGGAAATGATTGTCAAAGATGTCACTAATTTGACAATGGGCGGTCACGGAGAAGACGACGACTTGTGACAATCTCTGTGTTTCAGGCGTAAGAGGAGATGGCGTGGAGAGTTGCGGAGATGATTGTCAAAGACGTCACTAATTTGACAATGGGCGGTCACGGAGATGACGACGACTTGTGACAATCTCTGTGTTTCAGGCGCAAGAGGAGATGGCATGGAGAGTTGCGGAGATGATTGTCAAAGACGTCACTAATTTGACAATGGGCGGTCACGGAGATGACGACGACTTGTGACAATCTCGTTCTCTCTAGTTTTAAAGTCAATCTGTTGAAATCTTGTGAAATAACCTCGGTGTAAAAGTCTTCAATGTATTATTTGGATATAATCCTTGTACAGTCAGATTAATATCGCCGACATTCTACAGTAGATTTTCTATTGAATTTTAATGTGTAATACTTTTCTGGACCACATTTCTTCTCCTAGAATCCATGCTTCACTAGATAATTTAACAATTTTTATTTTATTTTATTAAGTTTTGAAGAGGTTTATTGATTTTTGCAATTTGTTACTTTTCACACTGTTTTAGAATATATTCATTACTAGTTTTTAATGCTCCTATTATGCTATGCAAACTAATATTGCCGACCATTTATATTACATAAAAAATGAAACAGCTGCGACTTTATCTTGGATTATTATTTCATTTTGTCTGCTGCTCTAAGTCACCCTCTACCCCTCTTAAGGCACATAGAAACATTATTTATATTCTTTTCACTGAAGCAAGATACAATTTCTTCTGCTATTTGTTCCTCGTCACCTTTATATTCATTCCTAAATTATATTCTCATCTCTAATCTCTTCCCTTTTTCACTCAGCACTTTAAGTAATTTGATTTTTAACAATAAAATCAAAATCCACTACTGAGAAAACACTGATTCCTATCTACTTGTGTTTTAGATCTCACTCTTATTTAATACCAAACCTCAGTTGTTGATACAGTTTAGTTTACAGAGTTTATTTATTGAAGATTTTAAGGGTACAGGTCAGCTAGCTCTTTTGAGAAAAAACCCCAAAAAAGTGGGAATATATAAAAGAGGTCACTTTTATCACTTATTAGTGGTTAGTACAATACTGATATTTCATGATTGTTTAGTACTTCCTGCAAAAAGTAGCTTGACAAAAGAAAATCTGTTTAAAAACCCTCTGGAAAAGTCCTACATTACAGAAATATCAGTGTTATGTTTTGTAACCTTAATTATTGTGTCTATAAGCTGTGGCCTCTTATTTTCCATGGTAAGCTAGCTAAAATCCTTCCTCTAAAAAATACTTAATCAGCCTCACGGCCTTTCCTTATTCTTTGTAGATCTATTGTAGGCCTAATTATTTGTTCCTATAGCACATACTTTATGTAGTTTTATCTTTTATCTACTTAGATAGCCTTTTATGTTTGTCTTGATTATTAATTTTCTGCATTGCATATTTTTGATAGTGTTTATTAATGAATACTGTCAGTTTTAAACTGATGTTTCTTAGCCTAACTATTGTAAATAATTATGGTTTTGTATGTAATAGTTTTGTTGGATACTTGATATTGATATTGTTTACAGATAAAGATGTACTGATGTCATAACTATATGTTTATAGTCCAGGCAAACTAAACAAACTTACATAGGGACCGTTAAAAAATTGCAAGAAAACGTTTTATGGTTTTATTTTGTAGAGTTGGGTTTGCAGAATGACATACTAAAAGTTGCCAAAAATCGGTGCACGAGAAAACCACTAAAATCACAATTTAAAATGGCGGCTTTTTTCAACATTGGACAAATTAAAAAAACATATTTCACATGCATTTGCTATGCACATTTTTCGAGATATTGACTTGGGACCACCGCCTGTATTTATTGAGTGGTTAGTACTTCATTTTGATAGGGAACATGTTTTTGGCCGCCATCTTGGATCCGCCATATTGGACATAGATAATTTTTTTTCAATGTAATGATAGTGTTGTGACACATCATTACCAACTACATTTTTACACTGATTTCAATGCCGAAATCCGTTTTTAAATATCTTTATTCATTTAGAAGATATATACAAAAGAAAACTCTGCACCATACATTTCTTATGGACGTTTCGTAGTTTGATATTTTTTTTTAAATTATTTTTCTTATATCTCCAGTTCTTATTAACGCTTGTAGTTCGTTCTAGGCTTAAAATATTCAGTAATGTAAGGGCTTTCATTTGAGCTCTTGATCATTAAAATCAGACGAGTTAAAGACCTGCTACGAACCTTAGAACAATATTAAATTTAACTTTTTAGAAATATATTTTTATTAAAATATTTATAACTCGGGTTGTTAATACGTCACCAAGTTCTTTCTTGTCTCAAATTACTCAGTGAATGTTTAGCTTTGATTTTATTAATCACTAAACAAAATCTGACAATTTTAAAATGAGCCATGGACCATAATTTAACATTAAAATGTATTTATTTTGAAATTTGTCTTTAGTTAAGGACATATATCCCAAACCCTAATAACTCCTGGAAAGTAATCCATAGCTAAAATAAAAGTCAATATTTTGGCGAATTATTTAAGACTATAAAGAGTTTTGGGAGTTATTTAGAATTAGGAATATACGTCTTTAACTAAAGACAAATTTCAATATAAATACATTCTAATGTTAAATTAAGGTCCATGGCTCATTTTAAAATTGTCAGATTTTGTTTAATGATCAATAAAATTAAAGCCAAACATTTACTGAGTAATTTGAGACCAGAAAGAACTCGGTGACGTATTAACAACCCGAGTTATAAATCTTTTAATAAAAATATATTTCTAAAAAGTTAAATTTAATATTGTTCTGAGGTTCGTAGCAGGTCTTTAACTCGTCTGATTTTAATGATCAAGAGCTCAAATGAAAGCCCTTACATTACTGAATATTTTAAGCCTAGAACGAACTACAAGCGTTAATAAGAACTGGAGATATAAGAAAAATAATTTTAAAAAAAATATCAAACTACGAAACGTCCATAAGAAATGTATGGTGCAGAGTTTTCTTTTGTATATATCTTCTAAATGAATAAAGATATTTAAAAACGGATTTCGGCATTGAAATCAGTGTAAAAATGTAGTTGGTAATGATGTGTCACAACACTATCATTACATTGAAAAAAAATTATCTATGTCCAATATGGCGGATCCAAGATGGCGGCCAAAAACATGTTCCCTATCAAAATGAAGTACTAACCACTCAATAAATACAGGCGGTGGTCCCAAGTCAATATCTCGAAAAATGTGCATAGCAAATGCATGTGAAATATGTTTTTTTAATTTGTCCAATGTTGAAAAAAGCCGCCATTTTAAATTGTGATTTTAGTGGTTTTCTCGTGCACCGATTTTTGGCAACTTTTAGTATGTCATTCTGCAAACCCAACTCTACAAAATAAAACCATAAAACGTTTTCTTGCAATTTTTTTAAGGTCATATCCTATATTTACCCGACTATTAGTGATTCTATGGAGTTTCTAGCTATCTAAGTATCAACATGTAATAGTGACTAACTTAAGTTTCTCAGGAAAAAATTGTAAAATTTCAAAATAATCGTATATGTAAAATCTAAAAGCTCTATATAAATATTAAAAGTGAAATCATGGTTTGGAGTTAACTATTCAGCTTATTTTTTTATTATTTAAGATTAAAATCGTGTTGCTTTTTGTTTTTATTTTTAACTTAAAGATTTAAATATAGCCGAATGGTGATTTACAATTCATTGTCATACTGATGGCATGCTGGCGTTAAGTTTAAACAATTATTTTAATATTCTTTGTACCTCTGATAAAATGTATAAGCATGGTTATGTTTAACAACTATTTACCGGCAGTCACGACAAAATTTATAAAAAAATCATCAAAATTCTGTTCAGTTGAATTTTTATGTAAAATTTACATTAGATGTTCTAATAATTTATATCGTTGATATTCTTCATTTACTACCTATGCCATTTTCTTGAGTAAGTGTGCAATAATTTTTGACATTTACGTGAATTTAAGCATAGAGGGAACAATATGGGTTATTAATTGTAAAAGTGTAAATAAAGATACTGTAAATATTATAAATACTGAGATAAAAATCAAACCTTGTATATTGGTATTTTATTAAAATTCAGAAACATACATTTAAGAGTAGTTACCAAAAATAAATTTTAAAATGGTTTTTTTGGTTTTCAAATATGGGATGTGATTTAGTTGCACGGCTGTAGAATCACAGTTTCACTGGTTTAGGGTTTAAAAAAACTACATTAGCTGTTCTCTAAAAGAGTTTATCTAAAACAATGTTTTCGATACTCTTAACTTAGTCGATAAATCTGAATGTTTGATGAAGTTTCTTAACTCAATAAAGACAAGTTTTCGTACTTTTCTCATATCACCCTAACCTAAAAACCAAGATAAAAATTGTCAAGTGTAAATAAAGGCACAACCACAATGCATTGCATTCTGCTTTTAATCAATTAGAATATTGTCAATAAAATCTTGCAGAGTTTATATGATCCTTACTTCTAATTTATGACTTATTCTAATTTATGAACTAAATGTTTATACATGTCTAATGTCTATAAAATTAATACCTGAGGTGTCATTTTTTAGAGGGATTCAAACTATTTGTATTTCCTAAGTAATGGCATCATTAATTCATAAATTAACTTAAAGTCTCAAAAAGTATCCGACAGGTTTTCAAAACATTAGGTACATTTTACCGTGTATATCACGAATATAACCAACATCTTACAACGAATAACCTAAACGACAATTGGTTTTCTTTGTGATTACAATTATTACATAATCATAATAAACGTGTGATTTACTTTTATAATTCTCTCAAAGGCTGTGATAGAATGCTTGAGAATCAGCTAATTATCTTAGTCACGCTCTTTTGTATTTAATCATAACTTTGTGGATAGGACTATGTTGTATAGATGTAAAAAATAAATATATAAATTATGTTATTAATTGGTTTTTTATTTTTATCTATTCAACCTGTCAACCTCAATGATATAATTAAAATTTATTAATTTGGTTTGGAAACAATGAAACAGTTTTCCTTACTCAAGCTCATCAGGAAAAATATGTATGTTTTTGTTAAAAAGAGAGCATGAGTATAATTTTCTTGCTATTCAAGCTCTTAGATGACAACTGTATGTTATTTAGGTTGTTCTTGCTGTCAATGAATCTAAAGATGTCCTACTCCTACACCCCTTTAATTTTCTGTAACCAAATTAACGTTTTTCAATGTTCAATCAATAATAGATGAAAATCTCCTTATGTATTTGCCAGCAGGTGTCAAAATGGAGCTATTTCATGCTGTACATGTTTTAAGCTTGTTACAGCTGATCTTCAGCAGCATTCATTAATTTTAAATAAGTCTTGAGTATTAACAAAACTTATATACACAAAAATAAACATTACATGTTTTGTTTTGCCGGTATTTGCACATTTTTGCCTACACACGCATGGAATTATTAGAACCGGACAACATTCATAGGCCTACTCAGTCTAATTTGGACACCTTCTGGAAAATGTGGAAGTAGATTTTTATGTATATTTTTTATTAAGGGTGTCAAGGCTGTTCAATTTGAAATTTTGTCAGTGTGTTTACCAACAAACCCATTTATCAAAGATAAACATTTTTATCAAAGATTATGTGTTTTTAGCTTCATGATCAAAAAGTGTGGTGGTATTTAGTATGACTAGTTAATAGTTGTCAATTTGTTGCATTACCATTGTCAAAATGTGATCATTTTAAAAATTTATTAATTTCAAGTCCAACTAGGAGAACACAATGAATACGTTTGTACATGATGGTGGTGGATTTCATTTGAGCCATCAGCTTGAGTAGAAGTGTCTATTGTGTTCTCACCATTATGTTTATCACTAATATATTTTTTAGGTACTTCCCACCTAAAGATGGGATCATATTTCAGATTCCATGTTCTGAAATGTTACTAAAACTTTTGTCGTTATGGAAAACATCTGTATACATCTCTTAAATAACACAAGTATAGTATTAGAAGTACCTAAAGAAGGATAGAGTCTTTTGGGAAGAGGAGTAAAATGTTGAATCCTCTTGCAGAGTCATAATCTAGGTTTCATATCTAGTATTATAGGAGTATGTGTGACTTACTACCCTACTGTGACTTACTTTTTTACATTACAACATAAAACAAAACACTAGTTTAATATGCCAGGTTCAAGCCACAGTCTCCTATTGCGTCCCCAATTGCTACTACTGCAGTTTTGAGTTGTACTTCCCATCAGTTGCTGCTATTGTAGCGGGCGTTTCCTGTCGGTGGTGTTCTCCAAGAATCCTGCCCGTCTCCTGGAACCCTGTAACTGCAATGAGTCACGACTAGCAATAAAACTGCTGTCGATGACGACTAGGAATAAAAGGTCATCACACGTGATGACCTTTTATTCCTAGTCGTCATCCCC